TCTTTGTTCATTGATATATGATCTTGTGTTTTCGAATTTTCCATAAATGTTTGAAGTCTTTTTTGTTTTATTGATAATATGCTTGTTGTGTTTTGTTTCGGATATGTAGCTGCACGATGAGAGCTATGTGAGAAAGTGCGAAGTGAGAGCATGTTGCTTTGCTGTTGTGATGTGCTTTGAATGTTTCAGATACATTGGCAAGGAATGAGTTCGAGTTAAATCAACTACGAGGCGAGAACACGGCACAAAAAGAGTTGATCGAGAAGCTCGAAGCAGATCTGGCTGCAGCGGTTGCTGGACAAAATGTTCGTTGTGTTTGTGCTTCTTTTTTGTTAGTGTTTTAAGCATGTATGGGCACTTTTATTTAAAGTCTACATAGTTGGTGTTTTCGGGGAGAGAAGAAGGCGCTGTGAACGCTTCTTAGGGGTTAATTTGATCCAACGTTGCAGCAATCCCTGATTCTTTCAATATGCTCAACTTGAGTCACTTTTTTAGATTAAAATTGACCAGTAACGGTCAAGCTTATTCTTTTCTACAAGATCGGCCTACCCCCAACTTTAGAAAGGAATTTTGGTGGAATTGGGAGAACATCCATTCTAAGGCCTGAAACTGCGCGCTTCATCTGTATGATTTTTGAAACCTAACGTCAACTCGTCTAACAGAAAATGCGTGAACCTTTCTAACAGTTTTTGGAGATACTTATAAGCACATCCTCTGAAGCCATACAGGAGAATTGTCTTTGAAAATTTTGTGTTATTGTTTTCAACTTACTCAAAGCTCTATAGAACTATCTTTACCTGGAATGGGTCTCATAATTTTGAAAAGTGGGGTGCTCTCGAAGTAGGAAATAACCTACTCCCATTTATCAATACTGAAATAAGTTAAGACCCGTCTCCATCTCTCTACATACAAATTATTTTCCAATTCTCCCAGAGATCAATGAAATTTACTGATTTTATTTTCCGACATACACCCAATGCTATCTGCTCCGTTCCCCCACGCGCAATGTTTTCTTCAACTTTTCATTTTTACGGGCGCGTCCCCGAGAAGACTTTTTCACAGCCGCTTTGGTGTTTGTGCACCCATAAGATTTTGAAACTGCAACCATCTCAACTTCTAAATTTATTGCATAAACATGAAAATGTGCACAAAAACTAGCTAAACTCCATATAGGTCCTGTCTCCTTTGTTAGGCTAATTTGTAAAAGTTTTATCTAGGGGTATGTTTAAGTTCACTTTTTGTTTTGTTTTAAATTGATTTGTATTTAGAAAACTATTGACGATGACTTGTCAACGATGGAAATGCTGGGATCCGTTCATGAAACGAAGCTTGAGGGTGACACCAACAGTGTTTTCACTATTGTCCTAGCTCAGAGGGACCGTTTGAAGCTACGTGTTGGGGTATTGGAAGAGGTTTGTGATGTGCTTAGATAGAAGTTTGAGAATGTCAACTTTAATCTGTAGGAGTTGATGGCTGAAAAAACAAAGCATGGAGTGCTGCAGACTGAAATCGACAAATTGCGGGAAGATAATGTGAAGTTGTATGGAAAAATCAAGTTTCTACAGGGATACGGTAGACTTTCCTTGTGGTTGTGCTATTGACTACTTACCTCTAGGATTTAATTCATTGCAGGAAGAAAATCTACTGAAACTAGTGTTCCACTGCCAGAAGAGAGTAACTACAGTGCACAGTATGAGAAACGACTTGATCCATTCCAACGATTTGGACAAGCAGAGACGCAGAGAACTTACGCACGCTTGCCGCTGCACGATCGAGCATCACTAAGCATTGTAAGGGCGATCTTGACTTATCCTTTGTTTTCTAAGTATGAGAGACAATTTGTCTGCTGTCTGTCATAGGGTCCTAAGTTTTCAACTTTTGTCGGTTATTTAAGCTTTATTGCTTTGACAGTGAGTTTATGAAGTACAGAATGATATCAATTGAAATAGAGATTGCACTTGCTGTATGGCTTGAATTTGCAGGGAAAAGCCATCATGACATCTCCATCAGCTCGGATGACATTTTTCTTTTATCTGCTATTCCTACATCTCCTCGTCTCCTTGTGAGTTTCCTATTTCTTTCTCGCTTTTTTGCCGTTCAACATTTTTTGAGGCTTTGTTAGAGTGTGTTTAAGTTTTTAAGTGTATTTTTACACCATTTTTGCAAGCAGAATTTCCATGACAAGTGTTCCAATTTGGAATAGCAGTGTTGATGATGTGTTTTTGAACAGGATGTCGCACTTTTAGAAGTTGCA